CAACTGTTCCGTTTTATTACTTAACAGTTTTCAGCTGTTCCGTTCTACTAGTTGAATCGTTTTACTGGTAATTCCAGATTTCTGTGTTTCATAGGAGTCTTTCTTATCATCCATTGCAGTTTGCTTGCTGTATCGTATGAAGCAAGACCTTTTGGTATAAAACGTGGTATGTTTGGTGAGCAGGCCAAGGCTTTATGTCCTGATTTGACACTTTGTTATGTACCCATTGGCGAGCATATTGATAAAGCAGATATCACTCGTTACAGGTCAGCTCAAAAACCGATGTTGTTTATGGCTATGCTTCATAGAATTTTGTCTTATATAGAATTCAAATATTTGCATGGAATGTTAAGTTTACTATAATCATCATGATTATGCATATGCATAACTTTTTTTATATTTGCAAATGTGTGATTTCGAGATTAATTCCGAAGTTATCTATTAAAGAAGTTGTCGTTCTAAAATGCTTCACATATTTGTAAGTGTTGGACGATCTTTGTCTTATTTTTTTAATCATTTCAAAATCAAGGAATGTTCCAGAGCTATAACATTAGGCTAAGGAGAGTTTAATTTCAGGGATGCATCTGCGGAAGTATTTAAAGTCTTGCATGAATTCGATTCACGAATTATTGTTGAACGAGCATCGGTTGATGAAGCTTATTTAGATCTTAGTGCTTTAGTGCAGCATATCTTTGAAACCACTGATCCTTCGGTCAAGGTATTTATGTTTAGTTTGTACCATCATCTTCTCTCATATTTTTTCAGCTTTGTTACTTGTGACTCAACGTAATTTAATGTATTATGTTTATTTTATTATGTCACGAAGTACGTTCAGACTATTAGACTTGGTAATTTATATTTATTCCATAACCTCATATGTTGGTTCTATTGATTTCTTTGGTTAAGTGCTTTGTCTATTGCCTAAAAGTACCAAAGAAACGTCTTTCGAATTCTAAAATATTCATCAAACGACAATGGATTGCTGGTTCCCTGGTAATGGATAATGTTCTTTCCATTGAAAGCTTTGGAACAGTTTTCGTCTGAAAAAAATGGAATAACATATGAGGTTGAGAAATAAATTTGTTTTCGCTTGTACTAAAACATTAAATTTACAGTATAGGAGATCTAATGCATTAGATTTATTTCCAACAACGCATGTTGCTGATGGAGCTGATCTGAATGAAGAGGGAATTCCTGATTGGAAGTATGATAGGACTGAATCTTTGCATTCATTTCTGACGGAAGCATGCGAAACAAAGGATGAATACAAGGTATTATTGGCTTCATCGCTTGCAGGTTAAGAGAGAAATATTTAAATATTGAAATTTGAGTTTTTAAGGAGATGTTTTAAGGAAGAAATTACGACTAATATTCACTAAGGTACTAAGAAAATTTTTAACTTCTAATAAATAATAATTCTTGTCACTAAAAATTGAATGGCATAAGAGGATGCAGTTAAGCATTTTTGGTAAAAAAATTTAAACAGAAATGAGTGCTTATCAACAGTCTATTGCATAATGAGCATCGATCTACATTTTGTGAGATGTATTCCATTGTATGCCATGCTGTTTAAATTAATTCTTTAAAATAAAGAGTTATGTAAAGTGCTGTAAATCGAGTGAAATGATGTAATTTTCAGTTAAAATTGATTATTGGAGCCGATCTGATTGAACAAATAAGGAGTGATATAAAAAAATACTGCCTTCAACTGTTCTGCAGGAATTGGCAGTAGCAAGGTTTGTTCTTTTGGAATTTTTAGCCATGTTTTTGTGGAGACTTGGAAATTTTCTTTTTAATTAGCTTATTCATAAAGATAGCTGTTCGACAACACAACTGTGTTGTCAAGCAAAAATCATCAATTACTTTTCTAGTTCCAACAGCAGTTCTAACTGTTTTGTTAAATATCTTAGCCATTATCATAGATCTCTAATTGATTAATGGATTCGAGGTATAGTTTTAATACATATTTCGAGCATAGTTTTGATAAATCTGAAGAATTATCACTCTTTAGAAATTATGATGCTGTAAAACCACGACATTTTTCATAAAACAGCAATTAATTAGCGGCTTCAGATTTTCATATTTCAGATGATCGCTAAATTAGTTTGCTCACGACATAAGCCTGGACAACAGACTGTTGTGTTCAATGAAGCTATATCTAAAGTTTTGAAATATACTCCTATAAATGAAGTTCGAAATCTTGGCGGCAAATTGGGAGAGCATTAATGGAAAAATTCAATATCAAAGTACATATTGTTCTTCATGGATTAAATTGTGAAAGTCGAATAAGTAGTTTATGTATATTTTGGAAAGTTTATGTCGTTTATTTTTCAAAAATGCAGACAATGGGAGAATTATCAGAAATATCGATGTCAAATCTTAGTGACTGTTTCTCAGCTCAAGCAAGATGGGTGTATAATATTGCACGTGGTATATTTTGCGACTTTTTCTTTCTTAAAAATTTCTTTATTCTTAGTTCAATTATATTATTATGTTGCTATACTAAAACCGATTTAATGCCTGAACCAAGAATATAATGTTCGGATTCTTGATGAGAGCGAAAATTAAGCTTGCAAATACTGTTATTATACTTCGTAATATCCAGTAATCTTAATAATTAATTAAAATCAATGATTTCGGTTAAAAGTCAAATTCTAGCTGATCTCTAATTGATATCTTCATATTGATTGATTGGTATCTGTTTAAAGCAATATTTTTCATTATTTTAGGTATCGATGAAGAAAAAGTTACTGCACGTGACAAACAAAGTTCGGTTGCGGTGAGTAAAAATTTTCCCGGTCCTAATGCTCTGAAAACGGATGGTGATGTAAAATTTTGGCTGGAAGGTTTAATCAAAGAATTGGTGAAACAGCTTAATTGACGACCAAATAACGGTATGATAATTTATTATACATATTGTTAATTATGTATCGTTTCTAATTTCTTTATCTTATCGCTTATATAGTAGCATTACTGAACTTTTTGGTTGTAATACGACAATGAGTAACATAATATATAACAAGATATATGTTTCAAAAGGTTCGTTTGGACCGAATCATTAAGTTTCTTTATTCTAGAATGATACGTTTATAGTTTTTAGTGCTGAAATATGCGTATTTATAGATTAGAAAATTTATGTGCATTTTCTGAACTGATGTACATCATAGAAAAAATTTTAATTTTAAAATCTTATTAGAATATTCGAACCGCTTCAACGCTTCATATTGGCTGTACAACCGATGCTCATATTACCAGAAGTATGCAGATGAAAACTTATGACCCGAAAGCTTTATTTACTTCAGTTTGGGCGATTTTTCGACATATTAACAAATCAAAAATATTGGAAACTTGGTAATTTTAATAAAAAAGTATTTGCCATATTCTTTATCTAGAAGTCAAGGTAATTTTGTCAGACTCACGTAGTGATATATAATTTTGCGGCTTTCAACTTCAGTTAAAATTTTACTCTTTCATCGAAATAGTTCAGTTTTTCAAAATTCGGCAAAAATATTAGGGATCCGTCGGTGAAGAATATTACGCTTTCCGCAGATCGATTTCGGGAAGGGATCGATGGTCGTTCGAAACAAATCACAGAATGGGTGACGACAGCAATGGACAAGGCAATGAATTCAGTTTCAAATACTTCCAATAGTGCCGGTATTGGAAGTTCAGCTATGTCTAATGAAAAGCTGACGAAACCTTCACCAGAGAATTTGGTAAATGATATTGAATTTTATTCTGTTTTTGATTTAATTTATAACTTAATAGTTTTTTCAGTTGTTTGTGGTGCTTCACTGGTCATTATAAAAAACAATAATTTTGGAGAGTTTTTAATTTAATTTATTGCATCGGTCGTAAATTTCTACTACTTATTGTGAAATACATTAATTTTATTACTTCTGTTCCTCCAAATTATTCGCCGAAATTTTATCCTTCTTTTGGATAGGATTCAGATAGATTCCTATATAATTGTATGTTTTTAATTTTTTTAAAGTATTATCATTAAGGATTACAATGATTTATTTATCAATTGTTTTTTAGCTGAAATATTCGAGAACTTCTGTTACAGGTAACTATGCATCACTCAGAAAGAGAGGCACAAGAACAGGATGAGGATATACAGATCATTCTTGATGTAAAGAAAAAAATGACAAGTACTTTTACTGCTGTTCGTCCTAAAACAACCATTAAAAAACGGAAAAAAGGAAGGAATCAGAAAAGTTTAATCAGCCAATGAGGAAAATTTCAGATTTTTTAAAAGCAGTGAATTTTCTGATAATCTTGTACTCATGTGGAAAATTTCAACAAATTATATTTTAATTTTTTTACGTTTTTTAATGGTGTTGTAAAGTTAATTATCAGCGCCAAATTGTTTCTCAGGTTATGTTTTTATTTGATACTTCTGAGCAGCATGTTTTGGTGATTGTATGCTCTGTTTTTTTAATAAAAATCTTTCAGATTTAAGTGTATCTTCCCAATTTTAAATGATTTTTTAAAAGAATAAAAGGAAAGAAACAGAAAAACAAAACTGTTGGTTCTACTGATCGCTGTTCAACATTATTTCACGAAAGAAGAATGGAATATTCTAAAACTAAATAAGTTCATAAGCGATTCCAAGAGATTAATGCATCTGCAAATTTTAGATATCGAATTAACAGCATGCAGAAATTTTTCCACTTCCTGAAATCCGAAATAATTAGCGGTGTAATAATAATTGTATTACAGGATTTTCTTTCGTAACAATAATATAAATAAAAATCTTTGCGTGCTATTAATTCGATATTTCCATTGAATTGCAAATTTTTAGAATTAAATTGGAATTTCAGTGTTGGGATTTTTCCTTCAGGTCTTTCTAAGAAAAAGCTCACCGATAAGTATTTATTCAGACCCATTCAAAAAGGAAGAGAAGGAACGTTTGGATGGAGAATTTTGAGAAAATCCATAGTCCTATACGAAAAAAGTGTGGCATGGCATAACGATAATTTTTTTCGAAAAGTTTGTGCACGGAGTGGGATTCGAACCCACGCATCGATCACGATACCAGAATACCCATGTTACACACCGTACACGTGTGAAGCATATTACAGCTTGAGTCTGGCGCCTTAGACCACTCGGCCATCCGTGCTAGTAATGTAAGCATTAATCACATCTCTGATATTATCTGACTATTATATATCTTGAAATGGATGGAAAATTTAAAAAAGTTTGATTTTGAAACTTCGAAATTAAATTATAATTTAAAATTGTAAAATTATTATTATTATACTTTTAAACATTTCAAAATAACATTTTTAAATTTCGAAATTTGATTATAATTGTTGTAAAATGTCAAATGAATGAATGAATGAATGTTGGAAAATATTAAATTTTTAAATTTTAAAATAAGAATTATTCATTTAAATTATAAGTTTTATTTTGTTAGAGTTTTGCGTTCAGTAGGATTAATTAATTTACTAATTTGAATGGAATACTAATTTGAATGGAACAATTGATATTGGTCAATCCTTCTTCGGATGAAGTTTTTTTTATTAAAGTATTATTCGTCGGTATTTGATATCGCAATTATTATTAAATATGCTTAACATAACCTTGCATATACTATTTTCTTCTTGCTAATTATTCCTATTATTAAGTGTTTCATTTTCTAATGTTTTATTTTATGTTTTTCAGTACTATACTGCTCAGTGATAAAAATAGATAAAGGGAAAAAGCAAAGGGATAAAAATGGGGAAGTAATGAAGCAGTTTTTGTTTTCTTATATCACCAGAAGAAACCATATGAATTATCAAAATCTAATAATAATAAAGGATCTAACAAAATTGTCATCTTCTGATCATCATTCACTGATATTGTTGCTTTATATTCATTTAATCACAAAACTTTCCTTTCACTGATAACGATTGTTTGTATTGCGCGAAAAAGCAAAGATAAAAAAAATGAATGGAAATTTCAAAAGAGCAAATGCTCAAATGTGATATTTTTTCCATTTCATTTATTCACAGAAACGCACATATTATATATACATATATGTTCTTATCACTCAATCGTTAATATTATCAGTGTACTGCTACTATTACCAGTATATTTTTGTTCTATTAGTGAATCACTCAGTCTTGCCTGCAATCTTTGTTTGATGATGACGAAAATGTCAATTAAATAAGCATATATATAAACAGTACGTTATCATTATCAAGATGTGGTAGGTAGCATGACTCTCATCGACATATATTTTATTATTTGTTTATTTATTTGTTATTATTATTATTATTATTATTATTGTTATTATTAATTATTAATTATTATGCACCAAACCGAAGTATTTAAGGAATGAATCAGATTAAAAAGTTTGTCATACTAGGGATAAGAGAAAAATGATAACAATTTTGTGGCATTTAAAAGCTAAAGTTCGAGAATGCAAATAATGATATTGCTTTGTATCACTTGGCTACGAATTATAGATGATAATAGCCTAGTGAATAGATCATCAGCTATAAGATATAATTTTCTTTTAAAATCTCCTCCAAATAATCAATCCTATCAGTATAATGGTTCAAATACAGTTCCCTAAATTATTCATTTATAGTCGTAAATTCAGTAAGATTGATATAATTGATGTAATATTAAATATATCTTAATTAATCAATTAAACTTACAACTTATAAAAAGTTGTGTTAAATATTGATTGATTGGAAGAAAAAAGTAAAAAATATCGTGTGAGGAATTGTATTTTGATAAAAAGAATAAATTTAAATAAAATGATAAATGTAATTATCGTACAACAATAAACAGCGTTATTGATAAGTGATTTTTTTCAAGCTCGTCGATTATCCACTATCATTATTTTTAATATTTAATTCATAATAGGGATAAAAAAAAACAATGAACAAAAAGTAAATAAAAATACCGATAAATTCAGATATTTGCGATGGAGATGTAGAAGCATGCTCATTTAATCATATGTTCTTATCATTATTTATTAGTAATACAGATGACACTATCATAGTGCTATTATTATTACTACCATTACCACTATTTAATCGAAGAAAAAGTCTATCAGTCATGTAAACTTCTTTTCAATCTTTCTTATCATCCTTCTAAAGAAGCTTAATAGATTGACAAATTGACAAATATAAATTTTTATCATCCAAAAACTCAGTTCTCAATAGATCAGTCAATGTATATTGATAATTTTAAGTTTTTGTTTTTCATAAAGAAAAATTTTGCATGTTTTTAATTATTTGAATTTCATATGCATTAATTATCACTATTGACAGGACAAATAGACTACTGATTTGATCCATCGATCATTATTACATAAATTTGTTCTCGCAAAGAATTTTATTTTAATTTTAAATATAATTATATGATTGATTAAAAGTTGTTATAATTATATGATAAGAAAAAATAAAGAGAATTGTATGGGAAGAAAAAGAGATGAAATTTGAATAGTTAAATATGTATTCTCGACTGATCAATATTATAATAAAATTAAGATAGTAAAAGAAAGAACAGTTTTAATTCACTGCTATCATTTTCATCGGATAATAAAAGTAAGTATACTTTGAAGAGCAAGAAAAATCTCGAAAATTCTTGTGATTTAAAAAAAAAAGACGATTTCCCAAGAAAAAAAGATTTGTTTTGATTTTATCATTTCGAGATTTCTACTGCTATTCAAAATAAAACTCCAGTTATCCAATGAAATCCTGTCAATCTTCTAATTTTTAAGTTTTTAAATCTTTTAATATCATTCCGTATCCGCAATTTTTTTAATATAATTGGAATTTATCGATTGTTGTGAATAAAATACTAACATATCTCAAAATATTAGTATTAATAAAAACAAACTTTTGTTTAACATTGATATAAAATGAATAGAAAATGATTAACAATTCTTATATTAAATCACTAAGTTTTATTTTAACGATTATTCCAGTGCCAAAAAAGGATGAAGATGTGATTTCTGATGTATATGATAATAAAAATACCTGGCAATGAAGAATGGCGATCAAATTTCGGGATTTATATCCCGATTCGTACTTATGCTATGTTTCCAAATCAATTATATACATCATTTGATATTAGTTTGTTTACTTTTATTTTTATTATTTTAATATATATTTGATTTTTGATCATTATTAAAAAAAGAAAAATTCACTTTCAATTTCATTTTTGTCCGTCCATTATTAATTCCAAATAAAAATTTGCTATTTTATTTTATGATTCTTAAATTTTGCTTTAAATACGTAACATCAAAAATAATAATATACGTGCGTAAAGGATATATAAAAGTAAAAAGTTGGAATCAAATGATAAAAGAATAAAATTGGAAGGAACATTCTCGAAGATAAGATCAGAAGAATTAAATGATATAAAATGAAGAAAGAAATAAACAAATATGTTTACAAATTTTGATTAAATTTTTCAACTTTCTAAGAATTTTCAATAAAAAATTCCTTATTTTGCAAGATCGCAATATCACAGCATGCATATCAGAAAGATACCGAAGACATTATAATGTTCAGGATTATCCGCAGAAGTAAGTTAGCCTTATTTCAAGAATATATATCTATCTTTTTCGCATCCTTTATACAAATGAATACAACTTCATTTCAGATATTTAAATCCGGATTCCATGTTTTCGAACATTCCGAGCATTCCTGCATTTAATCCAGTATGTTCAAGTTACTTATTATCATAATTACATCACTTCAAATTTTGATATAATTATTTCAATGAACATCTTTAAAAAAACTTCCGATATAAAAAAGCCGTATGAAATTTTGTTTTATTCATTCGCTTATTGATGGTTCAATTTGATTTACAATTTAGCTGGTTTATTCAAAATTTCCAAAAATATGTAAATAATTAAGAGAATACCATATAATTACTCCGTTCGCTCTATAGCATCTTGAATTGATGATAATGAAATAAGAAATATTATTTATAGCCTAATTTGTTACACAATAATTCCATTCGAACATTATCATTTGATCTTTCTCGACCAATGATACCATTATCATCACCATTACCATTACCATTGCTATCACTACCACTAACAACAACACCCAATGACATTAACGTTCAACTTGGTAAGTAAAAAATGACCACTGTCGTTAAAATACTTAGATAAATAAAATAACAGTAAGCATAATTAACTTTTCGCTATATTTCACCGTAATCATCAGTCATTATTTATTTACTGTAATTATTCTATACCCCTAAATATCGTGTAGAAGTAACAAAATAAGAAAACGGAAAATATGTCACTTCTCGGTAATTATTCAATTTTTAATTTAAATTCGAGAACGAAACAAATGATTATTTTTAGAACAAGAATATTACAAAAAGAGTTCGACAAGCATTTTTGGCGTTAAATAATAATCGTGATATCACGGGGTACCATATATTCATCGTTCTATTTATCTTTTATTTGAACTTTTCCAATATCTCAACAAAATCTTTTACTTATTTCAAGCTTATCTAATTCTTAGCTCTGCCTATAACTTTTTGTCATGTAATATGACATTTGTTAAGTTGAAATTTGAACTTATTATGACCTTTCTGTATCGATTTTTATATAAATTTATTCAAGAATTTCATTCTTAATAAAGGATCGTTTTTTAGATTATTAAATTTATATAAAATTTAATTTCTTTAAAAACAAGAAAAGCTTGCTTATCTTTACAGCACAACAAATATTTTACAACCGACAACATCATTGGTACGACAACATCATTGTGACAAATCTAAAATGAACAATTCGGTTATGTCATCCGAATTAAATGAAAAGTATACAACAATTAGAAATTTTGATGATATGAAAAAAACATCTCAGGTATAATTTAAACTTCTTTTAAACAATCTCCTTCAATTCTTTTTGAAATAAATAATCTGTAAAATTGAAACTATCCATAATTAAATTAAAATTCAAAATCCGATTTAATTGGAATTGAAAGTTTTGTTATTTATTATTTATATTAAATTAGAAAATAGAACTGATGCAAAAATTTCAAAGAAAAATAAACAATGATTTTCATATCACATAATATTACCATAATCTTTCTTGCCATATATAATAGGCATATGTTAAATGCAACGATAAATTTACTAAACATTCGTTCGATC